GCTGAGCAAGCGTTTGGCATGCGATCAAACGAAGGATCGTGCCGCCTCATAAGGATTATGGCGATGAGTAAACACAAATTGAAATCTGCGATTCGCAGTTAACATATTTTGTGATATGTCAACATTGATAAAGGTGGCGAATCGTTGGGTATCAAACTGCACGATCACCACGAGCATAGCCAAAAGGGGTTGAAATCAAATGCCAATGCCAGAATTCTCACCTGCCCAACGATCGAAGCGTTGCCATTGGAGTGTGCGCTACACGTGGCCAACAGTATACACACACACACACACACACACAATTGGCTGCTTGTGCTCTTGAAGGCACACGATCGACCTTTTGTGCGGTTAACGCCCGCCCGTTGTTTGTTGGCATCTCGGAGATCTCTTGACATTTCAACTGAATGCCAGTCTGATCTCTTTTTTTAGACTCTACTCTTGTGGCGTGCCATTCTTTAGCAAATTGATTAGAAGAAAATGATGTTGTTCGTTGTGGATTATCTGTGTTGCCGCATCTATTTTTTTTTTTGTTTTTTGGCACTTGCCTCTCAAGGGTTATGCATCATTATTTGACTTGCCAATCTATTCTTGTTAAATGGTAAAAAGAATACAAAGTATTTGGCAATTAGATCGTTCTGCTGTTGTTTTGGGTTTGTGTTGTCTTCATTCTTTTCCTCATAACGATCGTTCCCCGTGGACTCTGGAGCTTAGTCGACCCAAGCAAAAAAAAAGGAAGGTATATCAAACGCCATTTGTGCGTCAGGAATTAAATTTCCGAGCGCAACTCCATTTTGTGGTTGAGCAAGGGTTGTACAAGCAACGAATGGGGGTTGAAATTGCCGCACGACCGACGGGGTTGCAATTTTATGTTCATATTCATGCAACCAAAACCAACCCCAAAGTCCAGAACACGTGTCGAAAATTAAACAAACCGTTTGACAATCTACAGAGCAATCCTTCTGCCAACCCCTTAGCAAAATGTCAGGACAACCGCAATTAAAGTTCCTAGAAGGGTCTGTCGATTTTCATTAAAAGCTGTCCAAGCCAACGATTTATACTAGCATTTAGTTAAATGACATTACCCTGACAACCTTTACGGTATTCGTTAGCTTTTAGCTTCAACTTAAGGTGGACATTAGGTAGGTTTAGTTCAAAGAAGTTTTGCTCTTCTGAGTCTGAGGCTAGTGACTGCATGTATTACTGTCTTAGCCGAAAGCCTTAGCAGATAGTTTCTAGCTATATTCTCGACTCGAGGTTCTAGTCGTGAGCTCCCGACTAGGGAATAGCCTGAACTCTCTTATTCCAACACCAAATGCAGCTCGCTCGCTTCAAGTGATAAAGATAAATTCAATTTTTTTTCTACATTATATCTTATTGTGCCATAGAATATTTGTGCATTCTCAAAAAGTCAATTGCATTAAAATTGTGGCTTAAATTGATGGGCAATGCAAGTTGGGTTATTAACTTGATTTATAGCTCTGTGGTGGTAGCGGGGAGGTGCCGATAGGTATAAAGTGAGAGATACTTGATATATATATACTATTGTAGAGTAAACATATCAAGTTTGGTGACTCTAGCTCTTAATATTTACCCAATTTGCTAAAAAAACAGGATGTCGATGAGGATTTTTATAGATTGTTTGGAAACGGAGTAAGTTATCGATTATCGGAAACAAACTCGTTCTGCGCAGGCACTAGGACGGACGGACAGACAGACGGACCTGGCTAGATCGACTCGGCTATTGATGCTGATCAAGAATATATATACTTTATGGGGTCGGAGAAGCCTCCTTCTGCCTGTTACATACATTTGCACAAATACATTATAATACCCCATTTGAAAAGATCTTACATCGTTATAGCTATTAAATTAATAGCCTACAAGTTCTCTAGATTATAATGAAAAAAAAAAAAAAAAAAAACACTTATGCTTTTAGTCCCACAAGTTTTAAGCCATATTTGGTGGATGCCATCTTTGGGTATCAAAGCCAGCCTGAAAATTGTACTATATTTTCAGTAAAACGGGCAATTAAGTTAAATTGAATTATTTCATTCAAATTTAAACGTTTTAATCAAAACCTTGGTTTGTCAATGTGGAAAATCAAAGTCACGAACCGAATCTTAAGGTTCGTAAACCGAACTAACATTAACATATATTTGTAGTAAGGCTTCTCAGAGGGTAATTGTTTTAGGTTTGTTTTTTTTTAGCCAATTGCAATTGCATTTCATTTAAATATGTGATCAACATAATTGCCTGCCCAGTGGCCAGGATTGTTTGGGAATGTGTGAACATTCCCTTGGCCAGCTAATCATTTGTCATTTTGCCAAATTTTACAGTTATTACGGAAAAAACAAAGAACCGTTGCGGTACGATTTCAACGGAAGTGCCAACGTGTCCTACAGGATGATTAGTGCTTATCGCATATACTATGTGGCTAGCCACTGCCTATGTGTGTGTGCGTGTGTGTGTGTGTGTGTGCACAATGGCATTTTTATTGATAAAAATTATGCACGCTTAAGTACAAAGGGATTTGGCTGTATGTTAGCCAACTTGACTCAGCATAAAATCAGCGAACGTCGCTAAAACAAAGAACGGCAGCGCAAAAGAAGCGACAAAAACTGTCGCTCGCCTCGTCTGCGTCTTCGTCTTCGGCTTCGTCATAATGGCTCAATCAGGCAGGCACTGTGCTAACGGTTAACGGTAACGCTGCTGGCCATTGTTGAGCGAGTGACGCCTAGACTTTTGGCCCGAAAGGATTTTTAGTGGTCAGCGCAGAAATGTCATTGTGGGACTGCAATGTCCGTCGGCTTTCATAAAACGATCGCTGGACGTGTGTTTGTTTAACTGTTTCCGTGTATCTGGTTAACAGTTAACCGTTTACCATGGCTTTGATGGGTACCGACACAAAAGGGGCTGTAAATTCACTTACCAGCGCTACTCTGAAAAGAGTTGTTATAGTAGACAAAGAGCTTCCCACAGTTATGTATAAGCGTTTGACATTTCGTTATTTAAATGCGTTATTTACAGGAATATATCATTTTTATTTTACACACGCACCCGCACAATTCAGAATAATACGTGGTGGCCACATTTACATGGATGCCATCTTGATCGCATATATATATCCGCTACACAACAGTTGCGTAACAGGTTGTTTGTTTGCGGAACATATTTATGCTTGTAAGGTTGCCATGTCGATTACATGTCGCTGATTAATTAAATGTGGTTGCCACATTTACATGGATGCCATCTTGATCGCATACATACATATATCCGTTACACAACAATTGCGTAACAGGTTGTTTGTTTGCGGAACATATTTATGCTTGTAAGGTTGCCATGTTGATTATATATCGCTGATACATAACCGTTGCATACCGTGTTCACAGATGCGCTTTGTAAATTTTGCACATCAGGGCGGCCATTTTGTCAGGGCTGCCATCCTGAGCGTGGATACACAACTGTTGCACAACGAGTTGATAGCATTTAAAGGAAACTATGTATAGTGCTACTAAGTAAGGTAAGCTTGATCGCTTGTATTTGGTGCACAACCGACATACTAACATACATGCATATACCACAGTGGCCACTTCGTCAGGGCGGACATCTTAATCGTTTGTCTTGGCTGCTGTCGCAACTGTTGCGTATCGTGTTGATACAACGTTCAACGCACGTCCATATTCATATACATACATCGTACTTAAGCATATAACGGCGGCCATTTTCTCGTAGTTGCCATCTAGTTAGTGAATCTCAGAATGGCGTTGCCAGTTAAACACAATTAATGATAGATAAAGGTAAGGTAAGGCAAAGTTTAATTATTAATAAAACGCCCTAAACAAAGCAATTCCAGATTGACAGCAGCGTTTATAATAATTCAATTTATCCCAGCAGACCATCATTTTTGATGCGTTTAATCGGCAAACCCACAAGCTCAACGCAAGCGCAGGCCCCAGAAGTCCATACGGCACCAGAAATAAAGTATATTAAATATGAAGTAGAGATCTTTGGGAATTCGGCCCAAACGATCAAATATAAATAACAGCAGCTGGCGTTGTATTTAAACTGAAAATGTAATATGTGAAAACTTGACTTACCCGCCACATCAATTGATGAGTAACAAATAATAATCACATCTGAAAATCCTCATGTACCCCTCATCAGTGGGTCGGACCTCAAGTTGCATATGGATTCCTGATCAATTAATGTTTTTATGCTCGTATATGTTAGTTTTCAGCTCCTCTGTCATAAACAACACCAGCTCCACACCTAGGACTACCCAGATATTCAGGATAACCAGAAAGATTAATAGGGGAATTTTCATTTTGCCAATATCCTTTGGAAGCTTTAATTTGTGATTAATTTAATACAGATGTTATCGTACAGCCCAGATGCTCGACAACCATGTCAGTGCCTATTCCAAATTTGTCGTATCCTGTAGCACAGGCGAGGCGAGGCGAGGCTCTGCGTACTGTGAAAATGTGGCGTGGCCTGTCGACGCCCATTTCGCTTAACGATTATTTGGCATAAAATTTGTGCAAGCAAATTCTGTTAAAAAGTAAAGACGGGCTGTTTCTTCAAAAAGGGATTTGCCTGCTAAAGCGTAAAAATGCCGTTAAAACCATATTCCGAATGGGCAACAAATGTGCAGTGTTGCGATGTCAGCTATATTCTGGCCAAATTTTGGCCAATTTCAGCGGCCTTCAGCTGTCCAATTCATGCTCAGGCTATTTTTAGCTATTTTCAAATGGGATTTAGCTTGTTTTTTTGACCACGCAGTTGGCAACACTGGCCAATTGTCTGGCCCGCAATTGGCCTGTTGACTTAAGATTACGGCAAGACAAGTTGGGATGAGGCGAGGCCAGAGCTCACTTGTTGTGCGTGTGTGTGCGTGTGTATTGACTACTTACGTTAAGCCGGCTGAGCTGCACAATTTTCCATAAAAAAATCAAAATAATATATGCTGCACAATAATAACATGACACTCAAAGATTTGAACATTTGGTTTGTTTTCTTATCATTTTTTTTTTTTATGGAAGAGAATTACATGGTAGTTGGTTGTTATTGGCCCTTCTTGATAACATGCGCCAGGTCGTAGACACCGCGCACCGCCTTCAGCTTGACGCCGGGCACATCCTGCAGTCGTCCGACGCGACACAGTACAATATTATGCTCCTGCAGATTATGCCCAATGCCGGGTATATAGGCGACCATCTCCTTGCCGGTGGATAAGCGCACCAGCGCGCATTTACGATTCGCCGAGTTAGGTTTCTTTGGCTTCTTGATCAATGTCTTGAGCACAACGCCCTTGGCAAAGGGTTTACCATCCAGCGGCTGACGTGGTGGACGCTTCTTTATGTGCGGTCCAGTGCGATGCATTTGATTCAACGATGCCATGCCGCGCAATGCGGCACACAAATAGTTGCTCTGCAGAGCTGCAATGTAATCAAAATGAGAGAGAGAGAGAGAGAGAGTGAGCTGAGAACAAGTTATAAGCGCAGGCTGTCTGTAAGGCTTCCGATTCCCAATGGCCAACGCCTAGTTGTCCCGTCTTCGTATCTTTAACTTGTCGAGAATTGCAAGAGTCCGTTAACTGTACGCATACAATGCAAGTGGACACAACTGTACCAATTAAATATGTGTACATATATATATAAATTCTATATGGTAGCTGCCGCATGTGTGAGCGCAGCCGCAGCGAGCGGCTTAAAACATTTGACACAAACGAGAGAACAGACTCGACCTCAACAAAAGGGTCAGAAACAGTTGGCCAGTTCCAAATGCCCAACCAACAATGGCCATTCGCCTTTTGTTGTGGCTAATCTCTGTGAATATCGCAAAATAATTGTTATGCTGCGCACATCCATGCATACATCCATCCATCCATCGATCCATCCATATATCATGCATATAAGGTTATTTTCACAAATAATTGCAGCCAAATGACGCGGCTGTGGGTCAGCGGCAAATGCAGTTCTCAAGCCTTTTAAGGATTGAAAACCTTTAACCACGCACGGGGGTTGGCTGTCTGATGCTCAGATTTCTGTTCAGCTGGACTCCCGACTGGACTGGACTGGACTGGACTGTACTGCAGCCAAAATCGAAAACGACAACAATTTTTAATTAAATGCCACACGCACACACACAGGTAATGATTACCATAACGCTGGACAATTGTTAACAATGGGAGCAGGCGCACAGCAAGAACTATGCTAATCACAGCTCCCAGCATTGTCTGTCGCGATCCGCAACTGACCCGAACGCACCTGTGTGTGTGTGTGTGTGTGTGTGTGTGTGTGTGTGTGTGTGTCCTTTTCACTTTTTTTTTTTGTTGTTTTTTCCTTATTGTGTGCATGTCATGCAAATTCCCATTGTTAATGGTGGGCCGCATGTTATGTGGATTTTGGTGTGAATTTTAATTAAAAACAAGCAGAAAAACGAATGCGTTTTTTGCTAGGCCAAAAATTGAATGGACTTGTGAGCAGAATTGCGATCGCATTGGCCGACTTTGCCGAGGTTATCTTGAAGAACAGAAGAAAAGTTTTCCATACAAGAACTTAATCTTTGTCCAACCTATGTATTGAAAAGATGATATTAATAAATGTTGCATATAATGAAAATTATAAGTTTTTCATTGACAAACCCATTTTTCTCTCGCTCCTTCCAATGACAAGAAATCCTCGACTGAACACATATATATATTTTTTCTATATACATATGTATATACACACTTTGTAGGCTCCGCCAACAGTTTTGAGGACACATTAAAGCACACAAGCAGGAAACACACATGAGAAAACGCTTATAAAAATATTCACATACTAGACACAAGGTAAGGGGGTGGGGGAGAGGGGGTGCGACGACTAGGGAACTGGCAGACGGGCGACGGGCTCGCAAGCCGGCCACGCGCCCATGTAAAAGAGTTGAAATCGTAGGCAAACCACAGACAATACAAATCATTGTGTGCACACAATGGAACGCAGGATCCTTGGATAAACACAAAATGCGCACAGTCACCAATTGGAAATGGATGTGCGCAAGCGGCTAGCGGCTGCCTCACATGGTTGGCAATTAAGCAGTGGGCGCGTGTGTATATAGAACTCGAGACCCGAATATGAATAAATAGCCGCTAAGCAATGTTTTAAATAGGGGTTTTTGTCAAAACTTACCTTGTGCCGTCAATTGTTTCGTAACGTTGAATGTTTGGCGCAGGAAATTCATGTTGAGCACGTTTAGCGCTAATATGTATACTTCGTGTACAGCAGCCGCTTGTTAGCAACGAAAACAACAACAATTTGATGGCTTCTTAATTTAATAAACACTTTTAAAAAGAATTTTATTAATTCAACTTAGTAAAATGTAAAATGCACTGTAATGTTGCTGCGGCCTGGTAAACAGCTGATTTTTGCCGCAGCGTTGCCACCTAACACCTATTTATGCAATAGCACGAGCTATCGATAAGAAAAATGTATTTTTATACCGAAACAGCTGTTTGTTGCCGCAGCGCTGCTATCAAACACCATTTTATGCAAAAGCACGAACTATCGATAAGAAAAAAAGAGTTTGTTTATCCAATATTTTTTAAAAACTAAACACAATTACAATGCATATATTCATAATTATAATTAAGAACTACTTTTGGTTATCTCTAGAGTTGAGGGCGTTGGTGTCGTGGGTGAAGCCGAGTGCAGACTTCGTGAGGGCAGCATGCGTGGTGTAGTGCACTCACTGTGCTGCTTGGACCGCTTGGGCAGTGTAGCGGCACGCAAGTAGGGATTGTCTATATTGGGATTCTCTAAAATAGCTTTATTTGTTGTTGAATTGGGCTTGATCTCCAGCTCGGGCTTCTCCTCCTTGGACTTGTCGCCATCCAGTTCCTCGTTCTCACTGTCACCCTCCTCGCCCTCCTCTGCAAATGAAAGTAGAGCCTGTGTTAGTAGGAATATCTATTGTGTGCAATTCGGACCCACCTTTACTGGGCACATCTTCCGTCCGATTGGCCACCAAGTAGTGGTACTCCAGCTCCTCAAAGTCAAATACCTGATCTGTGGGATTCAAGGCAGCTGCATAGGCCGGAAAGGCGGGCTTACAGGCGATTACTGTTGCATTCAGAAAAAGAAGTCGAAACATTTGAATAAACAACCAAGAATTAAGCGCGCGCATACTTACACGGAAACATGTTGTCCTCGGTGGGAAAGAGATTGTTTGTTTCTGTTGTTTTGCACAGGAATTTGGTCAGCGCCTTCTCAACGTCACGCTTCTGACTGGCTGCCTTTTCCCGTATTGCCTCGTATTCGGTAACGGGCTGCTTATGCGTGGGCGTTCGAATATACGCATGAGGATCGGGCATTGCTGGCAAATAGCTGGGCACGTAATGCGGATGGGACGCCTTGCTGCCCGCCTGCAGCAGACTCAACTGACGCTGTTGGGTTTGTTGTGATGGCAGCGGTATCGGCACATGACTGCCACGGCGCACATACGGCTCCAGGCTACTTATGTTGATGCCCATATTGATGAGCGCCAAGCTAACGTCGCCCACGGTGGGCATGGTGCGGCCGCCTAGCTCACAGTAGTTGTGCGCCGAATTGCCAATCTCAACGATCACTGCAAATGGAATATTTTAATACACACAAACGTGTATAATAAAATAATTCACACTTACGCGCCTGCATCATTTGGGTCAGCGTTTCGAGGCATTGATTGCTGGCCAGGGCGGCGCCTTTGTCCAGCAGCAGCTGGGAGACAGCCTTGTTCAGCAGACGCCGATATGCATCAATGGTGGGTATTGCAATCGCTTCCATGGCCTTTTCCATCAGGTTTAAATTTATTTGCTTAAAATCCGCGTTAAAGCATCTGGTAAAAGCGAGTTTGTTGATTTTGTATCGATTTTTGCATACAAGTCGCTGATTAATTAGAATATCGATATACTCAATGCGGGCGTACAAATATCGTTTAGGTGAGCAAGTCGCAGCTGGGCAATTTTTTACTATATTATATATAGTAAACTAGAGACGCAATACGTTTTAAAAGAGAGCATAAATTTTAAAATTGGTTTAAAACTAAACATTTTATGCGCTGAAAAAATTTAAAGAAAATAGAGGTACTTCTTGAGCCTTTGAACAAAAAGTTCCTTTAGTTCAATAGATCGTGCAGAATTGAACAAGTTCGTTCTTGGACTAAGTAAAATGTTCTTTATCGAACCAGACCAAAGAGCAGAGCGTTGAATACGGCCACACTGGCATTAGTTGATTTTAATTATCCACAGCTGACGGAGTGTGCGGGCGGCGGGCGCTAAACAATCGCAGTGTATTTTTTTTGTTATTTGTTTTATGTCTACGAAAAAAAGTGCAATTGTGTATTAAAAATAGCAACAAGGCTAACAATAATTGTACAATTAAATGCAATTCATATACCTGACGCAAACAGTGCAAAAGGTACGTAACCAATGAGCAACACAAATTTATTTATTAATTGGTATTGGTGCTGCTGACGACCGCTGCCGCTACCGCTGCAACTGCTGCTGTTGCGGTTGTTGTTGTCAGCGCAGCAGCGCGAAGCTTTTCTGCATTCACTCAAAATTCAATCTTATAAGAATGAACTGCTGCAGCAGCAGCAGCAGTGAATGCTAATTATGTGCAGCTATCTATGTATGCTGTGTGTGTATATATGTGTGCAGCGGCATACTGATGCTGCCGCTAACGACGCCGACTGCTGCTGTCGCTGTCGCTGCTGCTGCTGCTGCTGCCGCCGCCTTTCATTTTCAATTAGTTGCCCTGCAATTTACGCTTCAAATTTGATTTGTGTACGCAAGAAGCAACACTAAAAACTCTCAACTATATAAAACGTTTCTATTTTTGTGTTATTCAAATTGCGAAATGCGCCCGAAAAATTCTTGTTTTCACTCAAAACTCGTAATTTTTATTTAGTGCCTGTGCCTGTGCGTGTGTGTGTGTGTGTGTATGCTGAAGTGGGAGCGAGCGCGGGTGAACGGGTAAGCTTATGTGTGTACATATGTGCGAGCGAGTGTTAGTTAACGGCTGCTGTTTTTGCTCTCTGTCTGTCTGCTTGTCTTACACCACGGTTTTGGCCCTTGTCACGTACTGCAGTTTATTGTTCTTTGTCTTGCACTTGGCCCCCATGCCCCCTTCATGGCCGTCCACCTACTTAAACCTTACTCATATTTGCTGGTTTCTTCATTGCGCCGTCCAGCTGCGATTTTTTAAGATTGTGTTGCTTTCCTTCCCCCCTCTCTAAATTATTGTGATGACTCAAAGCTCTCGAAGGCTGCTCTATGAATGAGATTCTGCGTGTGTGTGTATGTTTTTTTTTTGTTTTGCATTATCTGCTATTTTATTAGCACCTTGACTCTTGACTCTTATCAGCAAATGAAGCAGATCGAGTGTCAGACAAATAAACGGGATGCGGCAGCTTTGCTTTAATGCTGCTTCCTCTTCATTCGCTTTTAGCTTGTTACTGTAAACCAGTGCTGCCAAATGCACCGGATATCTCGTCAAATCTGGCTAGAAACAGCGGCAATTCGAACTTGCTTGTGTACATTTTGCGAAATGATAATACATATATGTATGTATCTTGGTAAATTATCAATACTTATCTATACGCTGAGCTAGCCATTCCTGTTTTACTCATTATCAAAGCCATAAAATACGCATTATATGGCTTTAGAGTCGCAGTTTTGTCTACTGAAAGTCACAACGTCGGCTATAAATGTGTAAAAATAGTGCGGATTATCAGATATTGCATTTGGGATATATGTATGTATACACATTTAAATTATTAATGTACTGAAAACAGCGAAATCTCAAGAGTGCAATATAGTTAATCATGTTCTTAGCTTTGCTCGACATGCATACATACATACGTATATAATTAGCTTTTTCTTGATGGGCAGCACTGGCCGCATGCACACAGACGGAATAAACGTAAACAAACGTGCATGTGCAAGCTATTCGCATAAGTTAATTATGTTTATATAGTACTTGATCAAATTTCAGCGCTGTTGCTTGTCTAAGCAAATCGCTTATGCATATTCAATTTATCAATGATAACACACAAACAAAACGGCACACCGAAGCTTAAATACGCTTTAAGGCCTGAAATTGAATTGAATATTAGTTAAATTAGTTAATTGATATAAATGATTATAATTAAATATATATACTGATGATCTGCATTATTTAGTTGCTGAAGGAAATATCTTAGGTAACCATATAACAACAAGTGAGAGGTTCTAGTCGGGAGCTCCCGACTAGGGGATACCCTGAACCCTCTTCTTCCAACATCAAATGAATATATATATTCTATTTTAGGAGCTATATGTCAAGTTTGGTGACTCTAGCTCTTATTATTTACCAAAATTGCCCAAAAGACAGGATATCGATATCGATTTTAATCGATTGCTTGGAAACGGCGTTATTTATCGATTATCGGGAACAAACTCGATCTGCGCAGGCACTAAAAGCACCTACATCGAAAATTTCGTTCATACATACGGACAGACAGACGGACGGACATGGCTAGATCGACTCGGCTATTGGTGCTGATCAAGAATATATATACTTTATGGGGTCGGAGAAGCCTCCTCTGCCTGTTACATACATTTGGATTTTGCACAAAATACAATATACCCTTAAGCCCATTTTTAATGGGTTCAGGGTATACAAAAAAGGTATAGTCTTGTAGGTTCCGATAGTTTGGAGATAAAGTCTACCTTTGGGGTCAATACACGGGACAACAAATCACGTTTCAATTTGGCGTGCGTGTTTGTCGAGACTTTGACGTAATCGTGTAAAAGATTTGCAAAAGATCTATTCTCATACATTTGAAAATCGTATTCCTAAACGTGCTAGCAATATGACATCAAGTTCTTTCCGTGAATTCTATCATAACACTTTTTTGCACTCTTCACGTTATTTTTTATGCACGTGCATGTGAAATTTGTTTAAACAATTGAAGCTTCAGTTCTCAGATTTGGTTTATTTACATGCTATTCCGTCACGTCCGGAACTTTCTACTTTTGACGCAAAACCTGGCCTATCCAAAACTACTAATTTCTTTCAAGGGGCTGCTTGATAGGAAAGTTGGTGCAGCCGCTTCACATGTTAGGGTATAGCAAGAGTGCGCTAGCTGGGCGTGCCCGGCCAGAAGTTACCCTGGACCAAGCGACGGTAGTTATTCAAAAAGTTAAATATGTTTTCTTTGTTTAAAACAAAGTCTTCAAATCGATATTAATCGATAGTAAGAAAATTGAAGTTATCGATGAACGATAAGCTCGAATATAGATATATATATGTAAAATCACCGGATTAATACAGCTGGTCTTGCTTGGATCGATTCTAGATACTGCCGGCTGCCTGTTACAAACGCTTGCCCAGAAACATGATACCCTCTTTAACCATTTGCCGTGTGTACAGGGTATAAATATGTGCGCACTTGAGCCCGATGGCGCATTTGTTTGTTTTTGTTCTGCTGAGTGCAAAAGAGAAACTTTTGGCGTTAACAATAAAAATAACAATAAGTTTGCCTTTAGATTTGTTTTTGTTTTCCTTGTTGTTGTTGTTGTTGTTGTTTTTGTTTTAATATGATAGCCAGAAAGTGGCCACAGAGTGCAGCGCTGATCGATTATGAATCAGAGTTGGGGAAATGCCCATTCAGAAAATATTGAACGCTGCCTTATTGGAAATGTCATTGAAAATGGCTTTAGCGAAGTCGGCAACGAGGCGTATGAGTAATGTGTCAAAAACTTGAGACTCCAAAGAATTATAAACCTACATACATAACTCACATAGCCGTGCCTATGCTCACGTGTATTTGTTTTATTCAAGCAGCTCGAAGTGAACGCAAGCAGCGCATCCGGCAGTCGGCGATAAGCGCGACTTTCTCTCCCACACACACACACACACACACACGCGCACACACATACACAGCTGGCCAACAGTCGCCGCCTGGACATGAACAAGGCCGGCAAGCACATCCAGAGCGGTAGCACGGCTCTGGCCATCAACACGGCTCTGCCGCCCAACGGCCTGCTCGGCCCGGCCGCAGCGCAGACAGCGGCGGCACCGAACGGCTCGGCGACCAGCCCCATGAATGTGTTCAATTCGATCAGGAACTTTTTGCCGGACAATCGGCCAATTACCTCACTGCACATTGTCGAAGACTTCGATCGGTAAGTGGAATCATTTTCTCTCTCTCTCTCTCTCTAAAAGCTAGCTGAACTAGTTCAATGAACTGGTCGCTTGAGCAATTGCACTTATGCCAATTGAACTAGTTCCGTGACCTCTTCCACTCGCTCTTATAAATGAGCCATTAATCAAGCCGATGTCATAACCTCAATTATATTCAATTCAATTTTTCATTTTTTTAGCTGCCCAAAGAACTTCAATGCCATACATCGGACATATGATCAGGATGCGGATGCGGATCTTTGGCGTGAAAATAACATACTCTTTGGGCGACAAACCACACGCTATTTGTGCCTGTCCAAATCCGAGGGCCTGCCCGAATACGTCGTGGAGACGCTCAAGTAAGTGTGCTCAATAAAATATGTACACAAATCTAAACCTTAGCAATTCCCTGCAGAGTCATTGCCGAGAAGGTGCCACCGCCCAAGGAATTCTCGCTGCTCTCCCGCACCGCGGACACCGATCAGAAGGCGTGGCGCAAACGTCAGATCGCCTACAAGCTGTCGAAACGCGGCACTGTTGTCCAGGCCGTTACCGACATAATACTCTGCTCCAAGCTTAAGATAGCGCCCGATGGCTTTAAGCTTGCCGGCGATATCAATGGTGTCCTAATCTGTTATAAAACGGGCGCCATTCCGGTGCGCCTGCCCCCGCCCGTGCCAGGCAACGGCTGTGAAGTGGAGCTGGCACTGAATCGCCTCAATTTGCATGGCCAGCGCAACTCACGTGGACCGGTGAGTCCGTATATAGCGATTCCTATTGATGGCTAGACAGTAGCTCCTTCGTCTTGTCAGTAATATATTGTGTTAAGATATAACTAAGATCTGTTGCAAAGGCAAAGAGCTGCCGTTTTGTAGGGAGAAGTGAAGGATTGGTCTATAGATTCCAAAGCGACCAAATTATGGTTCTCTTCGAATAGGTTTTTGCTAGTCGTGTATACTCTACAGGAATTAGGCATCTACAGGCATTTGTTCTATTGCGCTTGGAATTAACATTCCTATAGATTTAACTCAGCGGGGTTTCCAAGAAGAGTTCGACTCTATCTTCTTCTTTTCGAGTTGTAATAGATTTGTAATAGGGCTTTGTTTTGTGAAAGAAATGCAGGATAGCCTCGGCACACACAGCATCCAGTTTGTTAATACGAATCCCATTTGTTGGCAGCTGCCGCAGGTGCCTGCGACAACGGAACATCATGACTATGAGGAGATACAGGCGCACTATCAAATCAATTCGCCACAGCGGCCAGCGCCACCGCGTCCGGCGTCGACGGCAGGAGCAGCAACTGGAACTGGAACAGCTGGCCGTGCTGGCCACTTCGGCATCGGCACGCTGGGCACCTACACCGAACTGGAGGGCGTGCCATTTGCCATGCATGCGATGCTGCAGCGCAGCCAGCTGATGACTGAAGTGAGTCCAGTTTCTATTTGATGTATGTGATGAAAATTATGAAACGAATTTCTTTAACAACAGTTGCCTACACTGCCCGAAATCTCATCGTTGCTGAAAACACTCGACTATGACTTTCAGCTGGAGCGTCAGATCCTGTGCACTATGAAATCGTCGGCCTCCAAGAATCCCTTCTTCAAATAGGGCATTGGCAAATGAAAAAGGATATTGATTCAACTGTTCAAATTGGCATACAACAAATGTACTTACGTGTATGTGAATGAATAACAAAATGAATGGCACTCACAATTTGTATATTCAGTTTCCATTTGCATTCAGTTCTAATTCAATGCAATATGATAATAATTATATTATAATTTCTTAAAAGACCTCAGACCCATATGTGTGTATCGATTCCTGTGCCTTTAATATATGTATCTAATTTCGTGTATGTATATTTATCATATATGCATTCAGTTGTTTATTCTGAGTCATGTAAGCATACATACATTAACATAAACAAGTATATATATATATACATCACAAACACATATATATATATATATTAGACCCAACATTGTGATCGTGTAACGAATGTTTGTCATTATTATTATTTTTTAAATTGAATACCAGAAATCAATAGATTATGATATATACATATATATATATATCTGTGTACACACAATACAATACCATGTACAACCCTCTGATAAAACAAATATTTATATATATACACACACACATATATATATATATATATATATATATATATAAACAAAAATATTTATTAATTACTTAGTCTAATGTTAAAGCTGAACAGTCAAAATGAAAGCCAGCAAAAGTATTGCTAAACAAATATGCATACACATATATATATGTATATATATATATATATATATATATATATATATATATATATAGAAATACATATACATATACCATACAGATTTGGCTAAGCACTGTAAGACCAGAGTTGGTATTTCAATTATTGTATGGTACTTAGTTCTAGAGACATGTAGACTGTACGAATACGTTAAAAAAAAAAAAAAGAGTAAACAAATCTTACCTAAAACCTGCACTTGAAGCACACCCTTTAATGCACACTCGCAAATCGTATAATGAATGTTATGCAGCTGTTCGAAATAAACAAAAATTTATATCTAAATATACATAATTATATATACATACATATGTGGCAAATGCATTGCATGATATTTCTTTAAGGCCAGGCACTGTGCATTGCCTCTTTTATGATCTTATCTCTATAGACTTTTCCCCCTCGCTCCCCCTCTCTCTCTCTCTCTCTCTCTTTCTCGCTCGCTAAATAAAACATTTGTTCTTGAGCTAATTTTATGTGTAAAACAAAGAATCGCAAATTTAACAAAGCTGTCAAAATTGTCCATTAAAAACTTATCGATAATTTAAATATCCCTGTATAGAATTATCGATTGCTAAGTTAAGGCTGGCCAGCTTCCATCTCTAGCGTCTATCGTGATTAACGGTTATCGCTAGCGTGTTATCGATAGGCGTAGGCCACAGACAACTTTCGTCACCAGCGTCTTCTTTATTTCTTAGCATTTTGAGAATGTATATTAGATACACGTTAATCTCAGGAAATGTCCATTCCAGAAATTGTTTTATCGAACAGCTTTTAAGCAAAATTATTGAATAACCTTCTAGGCAGCCTGGGTAATTGATCAATGCATATGTAAAGCAATAGATACAGACTCAAATATCAGAATATTTATAAGTATATTCATAGGTATGTACAGTATATAAAATCGTTAATGCAATATGTACAATAATCCTAATACGTATAGCGTATCGGGTTACGTTGAGCTCTTGTGTCATCACGTTATCAGAATAAGTTATGAAATAGTAAATCCGGTTGGGAAAGCGTCTTCTTCAAGTTGCGCACACTCAGACGCTTCAGTCGACGATCGGCCGTGCATCTGTGTAGAGATGATGTGGGAGCAGTACGGATTGGGTACGGATGGGATTTGTTTTTGATGGGGGAATTTTTGGTATTGTTCGAGGTGAGTAATTAGCAAAGAAGTTCGACACAACTTTATACATATATATATATATATATATACATATCGGAAGCATCTTAGAGCCGGGAAACAACGGTCTTTACGAGCAGAATACGTTTAGCCAACACCAATGATACCAGCACCACAGGTACAAAACATTTTTTTTTTTTGAGAGGGAAGGGGGGCACTGGCTCCACTTACTCGAATATGCGACCCTGGTACTCGATCATGAGCCTCACACAATCGGCCAGGGTCTCGCCCTCGCGTAGCAGCTCCTGTATGTCGTTCATGTGCACACCCTGGGCAACAGTGTGAAATATCGATGGTGTTATCGATATCGATAACGTTTCGGCGCTAATCTGCTGCAACGGTACCTTGGTGAGTCTACACGAGAGAGAGAGAGAGTGGGTGATGTATTTATTTAAGTATTTCAGAATTAGGCCACATGCCTGGAGCTCACATGGACTATAGCCGAACTCACCGATTGAAGTGACCAAACAGATAATCCATGGTGTCGCGATTTATCTCTGGCAGCGAACGTATCAGTCTCTTGAGAATGTCCAGCTTCTGGTTTTGCTCGGTGAGTACTGCAAATCGTAAGGGATGGGGAGAGGGGGAGGGGGGGATTGAATTAGAGATCGATACGACTTGGGGCTGTTACGACTTACGCCATTGATTGGACGGGCCAATGAAGGTTTTGGCCTCGTTAACGCTGATCAGCGGGCTCTTGATCTCGCGCAGAAATAACTTGAGCACGCCGGTTAGTGCGTGTATATCGACGCCGGGTCGACGCAGTGCATCATAGTCGTTGGCATCGATGTTGAAGCGCAGCGTTTGGATTTTATTGTAATCGCCGCACTGGCGATAAATGCCCTCCACGGGCTGCGAGGAGCGTCGATACTTTTGCTCAATCAGATCACAGCAATCAATGACAATGCGCGGCACAGTCCGGTGCTGTTCGTGCTTGAGGACCAGCTCCAGTTCCGTGTCGAAGCAGGGCTCGTCGAAGAAGATGCGCTGCTCGCGCAGCGTCTCAACGCTGGGACGGCTCTTCCACCAGTTGGCCAAGTTCATCCAGGCGGCCAATCTGGAGGGGCGTACGGGCGTGACGCCCCCGCCATAACGTTTGCCAGCTCCGGCGGTGAAGGCGGCGACGGGTTGACGCTTCTCCTGCACGAGTTCAGCCAGCTGGCGGCTCAGGTCGGCCAGCTTCTGCTCCAGCTCCTGACTGTAGCTGGCCTGCGCCTGCAGATCCTGCTCCAGCGTATGCATGCGCTGCTTTAGATTGTGCCAGCGCCTGCCGCACACCGTGCAGCATTCCCGGCTGCCGTTGCGATCCCGCACCTGTGCCGGACTGCCCGCCGATGAGGCATTGGACGAGCACATGTCCAGGCTGCCATTGGATACCAGCAATGCCGTCGACGATTCGTCCAGCAGCAGGCGCGTCAAATCTCTGCTGCTGCTGCTCTTCAGCAGCGTCAATTTGTTTGGCTTGGTGCGCAGCTCGCGCAGCAGCACCACCGCCTCCGGGCGGCCAGCGCCGCCGCCGCCGGCCGCAATGCCAGCCTGATCCAGCGCCTGGCTGGAGCCGGCGCTGCTCTCCAGACGCAGCAGCGCCGTCGTCGCCGCCGTCGCCGTTGAGCTGTGCGAGCGCGCATAATGCGCACTCGAGGATGTTGTTGTCGAACGATCGCGAAAACAGTTCATCAGTCGCTTGGGCGGGTGTGGCTGCCGACGCTCGTGGGCCACGTAGCCAGCTGCGCCAATGATTATGTGCGCCGAGTCCGGCGTGCCAGGCGTCACTGGCCCATTGCTGGCACCAGCCTGCATTGCACTGCGCTGCCTTATCCGATTTGAATTCGAGTTCGACTGCGACTTCGACTTCGAGTTCGAGTTCGAGTTCGACTTCGATGCCCGACTCGGGGCTCAGCTTATCGAATTCACTCTTCTTCTACTTATTTTTCTGATTGATGTTGCTGCTGTTGTTGTTGTTGTTGTTGTTGTTGTTGCGCATGCTCCCGCGTCCGCCGCCGCCTCTTGCACTCCTGCCGCAGCTTCCACTATGCCTTTTCTGCAAGCGCGTCGATGACGTCAGCGAAGCGAGCGACTTATCGTCGCGCCGTGGTGCAAGCTATGCGGAAAATGTCAGCCATATAAATAAGTATATACAATATGCTTATAAAGTACTTCATTGTAGCTCCCAGCTGCTACAGTCAAGCCTGCCTATATGTGCCCAGCGACTTGTTTGCTATCTTTTGCAACGCTTGCTGTTCCTTATTTTGATAAATTTTGATAAATAAGTACATCTGTATAAATTTGTTTTGGCTATTTTCCTTGATGATGAAAAAACAAGTAAGAGGTTCTAGTCGGGAGCTCCCGACTAGGGGATACCCTGAACCCTCCTCTTCCAACATCAAATGCATATATATATATTCTATTTAAGAAGCTATATGCCAAGTTTAATGACTCTAGCTCTTAATATTTACCAAAATTGCCCAAAAAACAGGATATCGATATCGATTTTTATCGATTGCTTTGAAGCGGAGTAAGTTATCGATTATCGGAAACAAACTCGATCTGCGCGGGAACTAGCAGCACCTGCATCTACAATTTCATGTATCTAGCTCTTATAGGTTCTGAGATCCTTGCGTTTATACATACGGACGGACGGACTGACAGACGGACATGGCTAGATCGACTCGGCTATTGGTGCAGATCAAGAATATATATACTTCATGGGGTCGGAGATGCTTCCTTCTGCCTGTTACATACATTTGGATTTTGCACAAATACAATATACCCTTATACCCATTTTTAATGGGTTCAGGGTATAAAAATACCAAATTTGATTTCTTAAAAAAAAAAATCAAACAATTACCCACTTTAAAAAAATACTATTATCTAACTAACTAACTTGTATCTCAGCCATACTAAAGAAATATTTATACTAAAGCCTGAAAGTGCAATACTCTTGCGGGCTGTCGAACTTGTCAAGGCTCTACTGTAAACGAACTGCTAGTTCGTGTGGCCCAAGATAATAAAAACGCAGCTGCTGATCGATTTGTTGTAGTTTGAAAGCACATACTATTTTGTGAATAGTTTCCGAGTGGTTCAACCCAGGCAGACATCACTGTAAGCCTTATAAGCAAATGCCTACCTCTGCTGCTTCAGTCAAGGGCTTATTTCCGGTAGCCTGTGCACCACTGTGCTCTCTTGTTGTTGTTGTAGTTGTTTCTTCTTTGTTATTGTTATTGTCGCTTGTTCCGTTAACCACAAGCTGCCCTGTCCTTACACTTGTTCTCTCTCGCGCTCTCTCTCTCTCTGTCCCACTCTCACTGTTGCGCTCTCCCTTTTTCGAGCAGATGCCGTTCGTCCGTTACGAGAAAACGATGCCAAACTATGACGCAGTGGGATCGGCCATGATTTCAATTCACATGCAGCTCGAATTTCCGATTTCCTCACGCTCTCGCCCCGAATCGAACTATTGAAATTCTTAGTGCTGTGTGGCCTCTTATCGGCAACGGTTGGTTCGCCTCGCTCGCCAGGCGCAACCGGCTGTCCGATAAGATAAAAGCGCACCAAAACAAATGCTGAAATAAATCCCATACAACTCGACTGGACGGGGTATCGAGTACGAGTACGAGTACGTGTAGGCAGCCCCAACCAATTGGCGATAGAGCGCTAAACAGTTGACCGACGATCGCCTCTCAGTGGCATTCCCACCCCACCCCCACCCCCCCCCCTTTCCCTCTCCCCCTACCGACTAAACCGTATCCATTTTCAGCCATATCTATGTTTACACTGGCAGCTAACCGAAGCAATCAGAACAGCTCTAGTCGGGAGTGCCCGACTAGCAGATGCGCTGTCTTTGCAACCATTCCAGCTTTCTTCTTCTGATTCTTCTGAATTTTGTCATCGATTTATATCGATTACATGAAAATAGAACAAGCTATCGATAACATTCACACACACGCACTCGTCTAGATCGATTTGGCTGTTGAAGCTGAACAAGAATATATATCCTTCCGCCCGTTACATACATTTCCCCAAGTCCAAAATACCCAAAATACATGGAACTGGAAAACTATTTGAACCATCGTCAAGCAATCAGTTTTATTTTTTTTTTTTTTGGGTTAATAGGCCGACTTATCACTCGGTCATATCTTCTAAAGTGTGCTAATCAAATTGATAAGCCTTTTGCTCGCCCTTCAATCTCTTGCAACACATAATCCCGTCCTATCTGAACATCTTGGTTTTGGTTTGCTCTATAAAAAAGATATATATAAGACATGTGTGAATTCTTTTTATCTATAAATTATTCACTTCTGTTATATTTTATTTATATACTTTATACTATACACTTTTTCCTAACAAATCTGAAGTAGATTTAAGAGATTGCTATTTTGTTTGTGTCCAGGCTAACGATATAGCCAGAGTTGCCATACAGATAAAGTGTTCAACGGCAACGCTCTCAACCATGTTCCAAGTTACAAATTCGTATTGATTTCACAGAAATATGTGTAGCATACTTTTCACGCATGAAGATTATATAAAATATCACATTTTAAAAAGCTTCTTTGGCATATTTGGAATACATTTCTTGAGGTTATGCTTAATGTATGCAAAATATCCAACTGCAGCTGATACAGTTACCTATAACTATATTATATATATAATACCAAGTTATGGGGGTGGGCAATTGGAACCCTTGTTTAAATAGGATAAGATTGAGGGCACAATTTTAACATATATTTTGACCAAGAATTATGTTGCCAAATTTAGATGCCAACTTGATCCAGAGGCCGACGTAAAAGTCAAGCCTCGCGAAAATCTCATGAGATTCGACCGAGTTATGGAATTGAGAAATTTTAATCTTTGTGTTTTAGCTGGATTGCAGACCCAAGTCTGCCCTGGTTCAACAAAGACAAGAAATTTCCAGCTTACGAAATTACCAAAAGAAATAAAAGAGGGCTTCATTTTCGAGGTTCCCTCCAGCACGAGCAAGAATTAGGCACTTGAAAGTTGGCTTGGGTCTAAAAGGTAATTTTTTCTAAACCCAAAAGCTTTTTTTGCTATTTTTTGAATTTTTTCGAAGAACAGATTGAATTTATTGTTGGAGCATTTCATTTAGTAATTGCGCGTCAGTTTAACTGGGGTTTCGTTAATAGATATGTGCAAAAGAGGCGATTGTTCCAATGATTCATATCGATAGTTAGACAGATGTGTATCGATAGCTAGGGATCGAGAATAATTTCGGCACGTTGCGATTAAATAACAAAAAACAGGCCCAGCTTTAATTTATTGACTGGAACTTTACATCTCTTAGATCAACATAAATGAATGTATCTATAATAATACTCAGACGACTAATACTATTCGAATCTTGGCCTCTTCCCTCCTTGACCCTGTGAGCTTGGCTTAGAGACTTTCCGACAGGCTGTCCCATTGCGTCAAGTCGTCTGGAAATGTGCCGGGATCGTTGTCGGTTGGGCTGGGGCTCGGCTGCGCCTTGGGTATGCCGCGCACAATCGTACCATGCGACTTCATGTGCCCGCTGAGGCCGGCATATTGTGCAAAGCCCTTGCTGCAGATTTTACAGACGTAGCGCTTGTGCGGCGCATGGATCTCCTTGTGCTGGCGCAGATACTTGGCGCTGGTGAAACACTTGCGGCACACATCGCACTGCTTGTCGCGCACATTGAGATGGCCCTTGATGTGATCGTTCAGCACGGACACCTCGTAGAAGGTCTTGCCGCACAGATGGCACTTGCCCTTGGGTCGCTGCTGGTGCCTCCGCCGATGGCGCACAAAGAACGAGCACGTGGCGAAGCGCTGGCCACAGACATCACAGCAATAGGGCTTCTCGCCCGTATGCTGCCGCCGATGCACATGCAGATCCGTGGTATTGGCAAAGCGCTTGCCGCACTCCGTGCACTCCAGCTGATAGTCCTGTGTGTGCCGTCTCAGATGTATTGTGCAGTTGTCGCTGCGCGCAAAGCCGCGCTGGCAGACCGGACAGATGAACGGCAAACGGCCATTATGCTGGGCGCAATGCATCTTGTAGCCATCCACACTGTGCAGCATTTGGTCGCACTCTGTGCAGCGGAACGGCGCCAGATGCGCGTCCAGAAACTGCAGCTGCTGATAGCATTGTATGTTTGGCGTATATGATGCTCCGCCGCGTTCGCACTCCAGGCGACGCAGCTTCTCCTGCGCATAGGTTTTGCGCAAGTGCTTGATGTAGCGCTGCAGCTGTGCCGGCTCCAGTTTCTGTGCCTGCGGCAGCTCGCTGCGGCACAGCTGCAGCAGCTGCTGCTTGGCCGCCAGACGCGCATGCCGCAGCCGGCAGCTCAGATCCTGCATGTCCCAGATGCGCTGACTGCGTCGATACAGCTCTATGAACTTGATGTTCTGTTCATGCGTCAGCTGTGGCACAGGCAACGCAGCGGCCGCCGCATCATCGGCAGCAGCCCGTGTGCTGCTGCGCCTCTGCCTCACGCTGTTGGCCAGAAAACTGAGACGTTGGTGATACCAGGCTGCTGGTGTCGCAGCCACAGCGTCAGCCACGTCCCCCTGTTGCTGCTGGAGGCGGCGCTGTTCCTGTGCATAGGCAGCGCGCAGCTTTTTGGCATAGTCCGCAATCTCCTGGCACTTGAGCTGCAGCTGGTATTGTTCGTTGAGCTGGCGTGCAATTTGGTCGCACAGCTCGCCGCGTCGCTTGTAGTTGCGGTACTCCAGCATTGTGTTGTCCCACAGCGGGCGGGCGCTCTCCAGCTGCTCGATGAGCGATACCATGACGGGCTGCTCCTGCAGCCAAAATTCTGGCATATCGCCGGCCTGTGCCAAGAATGAGATTGAGCCGGAGAGCAAACAGAGAATGTATTGGCTTACCACTGTGTTGAGCACATCGCTGTCGCTGTCGCTGTCGCTGTCACTGCTGCTGCTGGACGCATCGAATTGCGCTTGCCAGGCAGCATCCAGGTCCAGCTCCGACTCGATTGCAGCTGGCAAGCTCTGGCTAGCTTTTCGCTGCACTTCCACTTCAACACTTGCCTGCTGCTTGTGCATCTCTTGTTGGCATTCCAATGCCGTGTCAATTGTGTTGCATACAGTTTTGGTCTCGACAGACTCCTCTTTCGCATCAAACTTGCGCATCTCTTCCGCGTGTGCGGCAATTAAATGCTCCTTGAAGCTGCGAAAGACCGTTGTCTGGTGCTCGCAGTAGAGGCATTTGAAGGCAAAGATGCGCGCCTCACGCTTGCACAGCCACACAATGTCGCCACAACGTTCATATTGTGGCGCCATTCTGTTGTATGTGAAAAATCTATTCTTGTTTTGGTTTCAGGTGCGAGTTTTTACTGCGATATTTGCAGCACAAATATATCGATATGCATCGCAATGCTTAAAAGTATGCTATGCACAGCCGCTGTAACTATCGCTACCAATTCTCACTCTGCAACACTGTTTGACCACTGCTCGCGGCTATTTGCAATACTGTTTGAATTCAAATTTGTGTAACTGATATTGTTACCAACGACATGCTTAAGGTGCATTGAAATGCTGGCTAATGAAGCAAAACTTAATTATCAACATAAAATACTATGGCTTATCAGCATTGAACGCCAAGTTGTGTTGCCTTTACACTGGGGCCTCAAAAAGCTGTCATATCATGTCAATTAATCATAAACGCATATACAATGTATGTACATGTGTACGTATATTTGTTGATTTTGTCAGTGATAATCCAAAAATTGTAGAAATTTAACTGTGCAGCACAGCTGACGTAGACGTTCTCTCTTTCACACGCGTCTCGGCGACTTTCATGCGCAAGGGTCTCAGCTGTGGGTCAACAATGCACACATACATATATCGTCTCTACCCTATGTATGTGTTGGATGCGCTGCTTTTGGAGGCGTTGACAGCGGCGCGACGTTTTCGGCGTTGACCGCTGCGGTCACCTGTTACTTTCACTGCGGCAAGCGCAACAACGAACACGTTTTCTGTGTTTGTCCATTGGCCAAACAATGCATAGTTATTAAAATTACAAAAACGCGTCTACGGCGACAGGGCAGCCTGCAGCAAACTTTTTTGTTTTTTGCTCTTTATTATATATATATATTTTTTTGAGTGTATGGCTTGGCCTTACCAATAATCGCATAAATTAGCAATTCTTTCGGCAGCGGACAGCGGAAGTCTTTTCACTTGGCGGCGCTCTCACTTTCATTGCCGTTGCCATTGCTGCTGTTGTTGTTGTCGTTGCTGTCAAATATTTAATAATTTGTGCTAAAATGTGAATTAAATGCCCCCAACGCATACATAATAACCTAGTGGCAACGACAACAACACGCCATAAGTGGCAGCACTCGCAACTACAACAAAAGCAACAGCAACAAAGTTGACGCTGTGGAATGCAAACGGCATGCGAAAAGAAAACGAAATAGTGGACAAATTGACTGACTGACTGACTGACAGGCAGGCACCGACATGTTTGGCCAGCAGCCAGCCAACAACAACAACAATAATACTAATCGAGAATTGCCTATCCTGTTGTCAGTCGTATTTGTTGTTACTTATCTAGGCAATTCTGGTATTTGGTCACACACACACACACGCACACACAAGCTCACATACGCACACATTTCAGTCGCCCGTCGTCGTCGAGAGCGCGCCCAAAAATGCAATTGAGAAAAAAACCCACGCAATAACAAAAACCCAAAATAGAAGACAACTATAAAACTGATGAAAACAACAACGAAACGGCATGCCAATGCCAAACCAACACACACACACACACTCACACACATACCACACAAACACAAGCAAACGCATACCACTTGCTGTGCTCTGTGTTGTTGCTTACCTGCGCCGACTGGCAGCGACGCTAACGTCAACAGCGCAGCCGCAGCATCATTTGCTGCACACAGCTGCAACGCCATTGCATTATTAGGCAGTACACTAAAAGAATTAAGTATATAGCTTTGCCTTAATTGATGAAAACTGTTGCTTAAAAGCAGACTTAATTCTTGATTAAATTTGCAGGTATTTCATTTTTTATTTGAAAATTGTACTTTTTTTTTTTTAATTTTATAAAGAACATAGAATTTCTATTGTTTATAATAATAAAATAAAAAGGTCACCGGACTCAACTGAAGATTTTCAAAAACAACCAAACAAATTTAAATCTAAAAAAAATAATGCATTCTTTAACTGCCTAAATGGTAGAATACGAAAAAAAAGAAGTTTCGTTCCCAAATTTCTTGCAGTGTACATAGAGCTTGCCCCAGCCCCTGTTCCTGTCAACGTCTTCAAAATACCATAGCAGCAAATACAAGAAAAAATATCAACAGGCTGCTACAACAACAACAACAACAACAACAACACAAAACACACACGAGTCCAAAAACGACAGAGACAAAAACAACAACAACAACGACGACGATCGTTGAAGTTTTTGTTTTTGTGATTTTCTTCTTGCTTGCCAGCCGCAGCCGACGTTGTCGCGTATGTTGTTGTTGTTGTTGGTGGTGGTCTTATCCAGCAGGTAGACGAGCCGGGTCGGTTGCATTTTCAGCGCTGCTGCTGCTGCCGCTGCCTCAGTCTCGGCTGGCGTCGCCGTCGTCGCCTGTTTCGTTTTGAGCTAAGCTGCTGAAACTGGGCTCAGAGTTTTGGCGTTCAGTCTGCTGGCGAACGTTGTCTTGAGCGCAGTTTGTCGTTGTCGTTAGTCGCATTAGCAACGTCTCAACGTGCGCGTGTGTGCTTGTGCGTGATTGTGTGTGTGTGTTGTGCGTGTGTCGGTTACTGTGCCTGTGTTACTTGCTGGCCCGTTTGTTCCCGTTTGCCACAGCCGCTTGCTAAATTATTATACACGTTGATTTTTTTTCGAGTTATTTTTTTCTGTGTCGCCGCAGCAGCACAAACTGGTTGCTGGCATAAGAAGCAGCAGCAGCAGAAGCTAGCTGTGAACAGAAGAGGCAGCAGTAGAAATAACAACAGCAACAATAATAATAATCATAATAATAATAATAATAATAGCAACAAAAACAACCGTATTTTTTGTTTGTGGTTCGGAAAACGTCGCAACCACAAAAAAAGTAACCGTCCAGCGGCAGCAAAAGGAGCTCAGTAACAGTAACAGTAACAGCGGCAACTAACAGTAGCTGGCGCGTTAACAGTAGCTGTTGTCAGTATATACACACACAGCTAATTGAATAAAATGCCCTGCTCGGCCGTAACGCTATCGATAGCGACTATCTGTGCGATTATCGCCACAGCGCTGCTCGCGATCGCCTTCTCCACAGACAATTGGCTGCACTATGACGTCAGACGTAATCAGATACAGGTTAGTGTAAAAAGCGTTAACAAAATGACGGCAGACGCAGCTCTCATATCGTCTCTCATATCACCATCTACGATCTTCGCATGCATTCAAAGTATATTACGTTCATGTGTGTGTGTGTGTGTGTGTGTGCATGTATCTCACACCCCCGCCGAGTCGACAAACAATGGGCTCAAATCTAGCCAAGGTCTTGTCAAAGAAAAAGAAAAAAAAAAACAAATGCACAGGTCAGAATTAAAGCAGAAGCCGATGCCCAGACAGAAACCGAAGAAGTTTTCATAGCCGAAGTCAAAATGGAGGGCAACAAATAAGTCACAATGGGCAGGCACTTGAAGAAAAGAACACATGGACAGTGTCCAGATGCTAGTAAAATATATGATAAAAAGAGAAGATAGAAAACACAAGAACTTGATATAGCACAGCTAGAATATCAAAAGCAGACCAATGAAAATAGAATAGATACTGAATTTCGTTCCATATAGAAAAAAATTATTCAATGATAATAATAATTATAAAGTATTAACTCACAAGCTCAGCCACAGCTTAAATCTATTCTTATAATTGATTTAATGGAGATGATTTCATTTTGTCGATTATCAATTAACAGAAATATATACATATTTTTATTTATAACTATGAAAAAAGAACCACACAATTTGCATTAAAAGCTGTTCATAGCTTTTTCTTATTGCAAACTGTAAACAAGAAAATATAAGTAGCACAACGTTAAGAAAATGCTGGTATTAAGAAAACATATTTTTTCATAGAACAACTTTAAAAACATATACATAATTGTGTTCCACTGTGGCTGTGCCTGCTGCTCGCTGCCGGCAGCCGACGTCGACAGCAGCAGCAGCAGCAGCGTTAACAGTAACAGACTCTCGTGTTGTTGCTTAGCGAACAGTAGAAGAAATAAGGGCATGGCGCAGCGTGTGAGGCATATGAAAAGAAGAAAGGTCGAAAGCGAACAGCAACAGGCAGGCGCAGCGACGACGGCAGCGCATGATCAAAGGGGCGGCCAGGCGGCTGGGCGGTTGTTTGGCCGTTAACGCTAAAACTTTCTACGCGAGCGCTTAGCCAAGCCAAGCGACGCGACTGCGACTCTGACTGTCGGCTAAGGGGATAGGGACGGTGGACTGAGGGGGGGGGGGGGGGGGGGGGGGGGGCAATGAAGAAGACGATAAAGGAGACGAAGAAGCAGCAGCAGTAATTTTTTTCATTTTGCATGTAATACACACGGAAAAACAACAACAAGTGGGGCTTATAGGTGCAGCTTAGGCAGAGCGTACAGAGAGAGCGAGAGAGAGAAGGAGCGTCAAAACTGTACATACATTTGAATGTGTGTTGGTTAGTTTGTGTGTGTGTGTGCGTGCATACCTCGCATACCAAAGCAAGCTAATAGCAGCGTGTGGTGAACATATTTGCACGTTTTTAACATTGGCGTTTGACGATTGGCGTTACTTGCGCTCGCTTAAAGGTTAATCCTAACAGCGTTGCCAATTCGCCGCACAGCTAAAGTCGAGAGTCAAATGCAGCAGCAGTGTTAGAAAGACACATACATATGTACATAGAGTGAGAGAGAGTGACAACACACACACACATACACACTCACATATGTATGTACATTGCTTCCTTTATAAAGACATTAGAACAAGGTAATTACGTTTTTTGTTTTTTTTTTTCTGTTTTGCTTGCCTTAACATTACAATTTGGCAACGCTCCGCTGTAGCATTTTAATTTGGCCATGGCGAATCAATTTGAATGCCCCGAAATGCGCTTGAGGTGACCGATACTACACGACGTTGCCTTAATCGGCATTATGAAATGGGCAACAGTTGGCAGCTGGCAGCTGGCGTGTCTAATGGCTTCTAATTAGCTGGCCACAGGCACAAGTGCTACAATTTTGACAGCATCTAGCGATACCCAGTGTTGCCAACTGCCGTTTTAAGGCAATGTTAAACATAGCTGAACGTGTCATTGTGCTGCTAAGAAATAGCTAAATTGGTTTCAAATTTTAACTATTTCCGGCTGGGCAGCTCTAAAGGTAGCCAACTTTAGCTAGAAAATTGCTTAACAGCAAAGGCGTTTTTACTTTGTCTTGTTCGCTTCAAACAACATTCTTAAAGTAATCTGATTTGCTTACACTTTACAACACTTACAGCACAAACTAAACAGTTTTTAGATTTTTTTTTTGTTTTTCAATTCTTTTTACATTATATTTATTGCTTAGAACTTACGCTTGGCGGATTACTGTTATCAGCATTATGTGTACTTGTCTTTGTTGTTCGCTTGCTCTCTTTTACGCGCGCGCTCTCTATCTCTCTCTCTCTCTTCCACGCTCTTGCTCAATTCTTTGTTCTGCGGCCAAACAAAGCTTAAGCGCTTCATAGAGAACAAGCACCGCAACAACAACAACAACAAGAGCAAGAGCAACAACTGCTGCTGCTACTGCTTCTTCTTCTACTTGCAACTACTTCCAACTACTTTAACGCTTCTCAGCTTCTTCTGGTTTCCAGTACCTGTCTGCGTGCCAAAGCAAAAATAGTTGTTGTTTCTTTTTTGTTGCCTTAGCCAAAGCCAAAGCCATTTGGCCGAAGGGGGGCGGCAACGCAGCGGACTAGCGGGGCTTGGGGGCGTTGTGTTCGTGCTCGTGTGTGTGTGTTGTGTGTGGGGAACCTGTTTTGAGTTTTCACTCGTTTCACGTTTTCAAGTCTCTCAAAATTGGTATGCGATACCCGTGCCCACCCCCCATCCGTCCGCCCGCCCGCCGGGTTGCCAGATCGCCGGCAGCCCTAAGTCGGAATTGTTGCTGCTGTTGTTGTTAGTGCTTTTTATTGTCGCCAGATTCGAATGCACGATCCCGATCCCCACGATTTCAACCGATTGCCAATCCAATTGATGAAACTTTACCAGCTTCGCTTGGCTTGGCCAAAAGAGAAAACCCTTCCTATCAGCCAATGCATTTGCCTTTATTGTTGTTGTTGTTGTTGTTGTTGTTTTCTTCGCTTGTTTTTCATTTCTTTCGCTTCGTTTCGTTTTGCTGCATATTTGCCTTGTTTTGGCCACCGTCTGGCGTTTCTTTACGGCCAGCCAACTGCAAGATAGACGTCAACGTTTCTTGTACAGCAAAAATGAAAATGAAAAGCTGAAAACTTGCCCGTTGTTTTTACCATAATTTTCCATTTATTTTCCACATATTGTTGTTTCTAAAGTTTTGGCTCTTCATTTTCATCATTTCATTGCTTAATTATTTTCTTTTCGTTTCTTCAATGTATGAATCTCGTTTCATAGTTTGATTTTACGCTTAGTAAGCACTTTGATTTGTCAACTTGTAAGGCGAAACACATGTTAATTTCAGACTGCAATTATTAATTAGGCTCTTGCCAAATTACTCATACGCCATGTGTGACCAGCAGCAGCAGCACATTCGTGTTTCTCTTTTTATACCCTGAACCCATTGAAAATGAGTAAAAAGGGTATATTGTTTTTGAGCAAAATCCAAATGTATGTAACAGGCAGAAGGAGGCTTCTCCGACCCCATAATGTATATATATTCTTGATCAGCATCAATAGCCGAGTCGATCTAGCCAGGTCTGTCTGTCAGTCCGTCCGTCCGTCCGTCCGTCCGTATGTATGAACGCAAGGATCTCAAAACCTATAAGAGCTAGAGAAATTTTAGATGTAGATGCTCCTAGTTCCCGCGCAGATCGAGTTTATTTCCGATAATCGATAACTTACTCCGTTTGCAAGCAATCGATAAAAATCGATATCGATATCCTGTGTTTTGGGCAATTGGGTAAATAATAAGAGCTAGAATCACCAAACTTGACATAAAGCTTCTAAAATAGAATATATATATGCATTTGATGTTTGAAGAAGAGGGTTCAGGGTATCTCCTAATCGGGAGCTCCCGACTAAAAACCTCTTACTTGTTTTTATATGTTTTCTACATACAATTTATTATTTTGAGTATATATGTTTATACTGATATACCCAGTCTTATAGACTCAGCATATTTTTGTTGTGCAGTTTCCCTTTTGCTGTGAACTAACTTTAAATTTGTAAGAGATTTCTGCATTTGCAACAGCTATAAATACAACTATTATTATTATTATTAACAAGTTAACTAAGTGCAGCAATTTGTACATTTAAGTAATTACCAAACAGTATTCAACTATATCAGAAAAACTTGGCTTAACTTAAAACAATATGCTCAAAGAATTTAACATCAGGTTAAATGCATCAAGTTAAGCCCTGAATTGTCAAAACTGTCTAGAAGAGCTTGACAATTGCTTTCAGTGACCTTTTTTTTTAGCATAAAAACTAAATGTAACAAGTTAAAGCATGGAAGGCCTGAAGAAAAGCAAAGTCTGTTGTTTGAGCAGCTAAAGCTATATATAGCTATAACTTGTTAACTTTTAGGATTATAGCTCCAGTCATTAAATTAGCTGATATTCTCAGATATTGCGAGGAATTTCTTAAAGTTTCACCAACTTTTGACATGTTCAACTTCAGTTATAAAAGAATTGACAATTGAATTGTGGCATACAGCTCAGATTTTTGTTTTATTTAGTTTAGTTGAGTAATAGCTTTTTGCATAGTATCTGCAGGCCCATCATCAGCTTCTTCTTAAAGATTGAAGCTATAGGAGAACACATACATTTAGGTTGTTCTTTATACAGGATTTTTTTTGCTAGTCGACAGTTCTTTTGCTTGCTTCCTATAGAAAGCTTTTTGCTGGCCAACTTTTAGCCGAGCATTACGAACTGTTTACTTATTTCTAGCTCGTATATCATTTATTGAGGCGTCATCAGACTAATATAGCGCATCGGAGACTGTCTGCTGTCTGCTGTCTGATGTGTTCATCATTAGTTTGGCTAATTTGTATTTTATTTGCTGACATCATGTGAAATTCCAAATTGGTTTATCACCTGCCTCTCCCAACTACCGTAATGTAGTCTCGTCGAGGCGAGAACTCAAATCCATTTGCATAAAGTGAATTG